AACTCTAAACCCCGCCCACTTAATAAACAATTCATATAGAAAAACAGCGATCCGTTAAAATCCCTATTTTTCTATATGAATTGTTTATTAAGTGGGCGGGGTTTGGAGTTGAGGGGCGATGCTTCTTCTTAACTTCTTCTTCGAAGTTTAATTTATCCATCCATCAAGTTAGAGGGTGACTGCATTCGATTTCGATTTTTTCCAATTAATTTTTCACCGGTAGGTTCACCCGCTCTTATCTATGGAATTTTAGGGTACTTTTTTCAAGCGTTTTCTTTTCTGAAGCGGAGGTGGTGTAGTGGCAAGTGGTGCACTATCTCATACGCACGGTCAAGGGTTCCAATCCCGATGCCCGCCTAGGCCAACCAAGCCTTCCAACCCTTAGGGGTCGTTCAATTGGTACCAGACTTTCTGGGAGGATACAAGCACTGTCTTACGCATCGGCTGGCCACCGCACTCATTACGCCACTACGATTCTGAATGGGAGTCGAGTGCGGGGCACATCCCTCAGACGGGATTGATTAACGCCAAAAAATTTAACTTTACTTTGACTACCTTATCCGTATAGACGGATTTTCGCGTTTTCGTGCCTCTTTTGCAATACTTTGGACTATCAATCCCATTAAAATAAAATCAGATGCCCCAAAATCCTCGTGAACTGTGCCCCTATAAGGGAAATAGAATACTAGTTTGAACTCACACTGGCATTCCTTTTTCTTCATTGTAGAAATCGAGTGAGTAGCCGAAATAGCCAGACGGTGACGAGTGAATGACGGCATTCTTAGTGTCGATATTGAAGGCTACGACGACGACTAACAGGCTGGACAACACCAGCCAAGCCGTCATTACCTAGGCACTTCGGTTGGACAATACATACAAAAATGTATCAATGAAAAACGTGCTCAAAATGGACGAGTTACACAAATTCCTATTTCACAAACATTTTTCGTCGTCAAAGTGATGAGCGAATCTTAAAATCCCCCCTTGGTTTCGTTCATGATCAGATTGCTTGAAAATTGGAAAAGAGCTCTTACGAGTTGGTTGATCATGGCAATGCAACAGCTGGTGGAGGCAACGAAAGTGCCTCCTTCTGTGAGCCGAGTACAACCCGACAGACGAGCTCAACATTCCTTCGGTCCCTTGAAAACACCGCTTCTTTTGTCCGAAAGTCAAAGTGAATCTCCTGAATGGGAGCCGTGCACAGGATCAAAAGGTCCAAAAACCTTCTGATCCTGTGCAAGTTCCATTCCAAGAGGTTCAATTTTTCAGGTAAAATCCAAGTTCCCCATAACTACCGCTTAACTGTTGCACGGAGCGATGGGGAAACAAGAACTTCCTGGCTACGAGACCTACTCTTGTTCCGTGAACTCCAGAATTGCGAGGCCTACACTCGCCCCCCTACCCCCGTGTCAATCCTTCCTATCAAGGTCTGCTCTCTTTCACAAGTGGTCTAGTGCAAATAAAAGTGCACATGAACCTTTTACATCAGCGATGACAGTAGCCACATTCCATGAGAAGGGGGACATGCATGTAACCACAAATTTTATATCCGAGTAGAACTTTTGGAGCCCTCAAAGGCAGGTGAGAAAGAAAGAAGGTCACAGACCTCTATTAAACCCTATTGTTATGAAGTAAATATAAGAAAAAACACATGGAAACGGCTAGCACTTTAAAATATAGCATGTACAGCAATATTGTATCACAGCAAAATATGAAAAATACAAAGAGGTACTCCTGGAGGGTAAAAATTCTTTCCACTAATGGGGGGTAAAAGAAGATTTCAGCTGGTGTTTCTCGCAATGGCGAAAACCGATGCATATGCTCGAAATGCATGAATTAGCTGAGTAATTAACCATGCAAACGTTGATGAATCGGTCAACGAGTGCGCGTACGTCCGACAGCCGACAGCTACCACAACGATCAACGAACAATGAGCGGGATAGTAATTACATAGTTTGGATTGAACTAAGCGGCTCAAATGAATGGGTGATTGCGATGAAAAAAGCGGTGGAACATACAAACTTTGGAAAAATATACATACACCCGTGCTACTCACAATTTCCTTAGTTGTCAGATCCCCCAGTGTTAATGCCACCGCTTTTCAGCTACTCTCCTGGCACGCTCAATCCCCAGTTAGGCGTATGAACATGGTGTCGCTGACCACGACACGTTCCGCCTCCTTTCGTCCCAGAATCGCATAGGGGCTTGCGAAAAAAAGGCTGTGAAGGAAGTAGAAGTGGTTGGAACGAAAATTTCGCCGCTCGACACTCTACGAGATTAATAGGAACATTTCGGAACTGTGATGGATTCCTTGGTTTTATGTCTCGACGATGAGCAACCAAGTCAATGACGATGATTCACACGATAGGCTCAGGTTAATCGAGTGGTGGGAGTGGGAATGTTCTCTACCAGTAGATGACTATACAGTTCGAGGAATTCCTTTAATGGCATCGAAAGTGGTAAGGGACAATTGTAAATTTCCGGACTATACCACCTCGGCATCGCAACACATCCAAAATGGGTCGGAACGGAACAAAAATCGTTCGGGCATCCGAGTTGGAACAAACAAATTCTTCAAAGTCGTTAGGCCTTGCTCCACATGGAAATGAACACCTTCTATCCTTTGGGATGCTACGACTACCCAGACTCCAGGCAGAACAAAATCGGATCAGCTGGTGGAAATACAAGACAGTCAGAAGTGACTATTGAATTGATCTTAACGAAACATTGAGCAGCTCATAAGTGGATTTGACTTGAAGAGACAAAGCTGGGGGGTTCCTCACACTTTTTCTGAATTGAATTTGAATTTTGTATGGAGTTCCGTAAGGATCCTCAATGCTTTTCAATAGGTTCCACATGGAAAAAGGTGATTTAATAACGTCATAGAGAGGGCAGTCGCCCAGACAAGCTCGAAAATCGCATTTGATTTCAAACTGAACAATTTGCTGTCAACGGGATACAGGTGACTAATGCCATTACGGAACAGTTATTTAGATCGATTTGATTGGCAGAATACGAAATACCTATTAGCGCTCCTTATTTGAAGTTCAAGAGAAAAATATTTTTGAAAGAGAAAAGGCGACTGCGACGACGAAACTAGTAATGGACGGGTGGTTTCAGCAGCAGCCGAACAAATATAAAATGCCTGAGAAACCACGTCGATGAGTAACACCACACACCCGCACACACTTTCTCCTTTCCTACTGACACGAAGATGATGGTTTCGTGGATGCCTGTTCATTCCCCCAATAGGGAGGGGTCCATGGATACGAATGAGGTGAGAGCAGAGAACGAGTTCGAAAATAGCCCCATCGATTGCCCCACATATTAGACCAGCGAGTTGTAAACGAGAGAAGACCGTGAGCGAAGAGTACAAGCGAATTTCGACGCCGCGGCAGACCGCTCTCGTTCCCATAGGTTACCTGGGATCTCCTCCATTACCAATTAGGAACACAACCTATCCTAAGAACCTTCGAATCTTTGGGTAGTTCTGAGTGCAATGAAACTTTGTCGTCAAACTCTTGTCACTCGAAGTGGTAGATTCGAGCCGTACAAGTGTTTACTTAAGAAAGTGACGGAGTCAGGGATCTATAGAGCTGGTTCTAATGGTCGCCGACGCTGTTTGTGAAAGTGGTACTCGGGTACGCAAGTCATGAATAAATGGGTACCTCCACTAAGGGGGACCGCCGGGAACTACTCAACTGGTGCTTTGTGCAGGAAGTAGGCCCCATTGGTCTTTCGCAACCCCACGCCAGCATTAATTCCTCCCCGAAATGACTGCACCTGGCGGCTGTCAGCTTAGTTTGACAACCTCCATCGTCGCTATATCATTCATGGAGGAAGCGCGCTTTCTAAGAAATAGCCCATTTTAGAAATTGGTCAAGGAACATTCTGAGAGGAAACATTTGGCTTGGTATTTCCAATGGAGTTTGAGCGCTGAGCTGAGCCTGCTTCCATCGGCAGCAGTTTGAATTTCCCAACCGCCGCTGCGATGCATAAGTGGGCTGCACCAGTTCACTGACGGACGGTGATTACTTTCCGGATTCATCGATGTGGAACATGGGGCGCAAAATACTCGACCCGGTTCAGAATTTATTTAACGATCCCCAAAATGTACAAGAAATTGATGGCATGAGCATGACACCGTGAGAGAGACGTTATCAATGAAGAATTGTCGAGAAAATCAATCTCAAAGTGGTAATAGATGTGCGCAAAGCACACACACACACAGAACAGCAGAAAGAACAACCGTAAAGGGAGCGTGAACGCGCGAATCATCAAATTTCAACGGAGAGACCAGAGAAATGGAATCGAGACCACAAATGGAATCGTGCGGACAACAGCAGGGATGTAGATCGCCGGCCTTTACGACGGCAGGACGTTCCAAGGATCAGTAAGTATGTAGCTTGCATCTGATCGAATCGATATGGGTGGTCCTGGCAGGCTGGACGAAGGGTGGGGGTGGGACTGCTGGGTAGCTAGCTGTTTGGCAGAGGCAGTTTGCGTGGGGGAGCCGTACACTACCAGATGCCCGACTATCGGGATGCGGGGTCATTGAAGAGGAACAGTTGCTGCTGCTACGCTGCTGCTGTTGGTTGCTAGCGCCCGCCGCGGCGGACGCAGCTTGCATCGCAGCCCATCTTGCAATCCCTCCCTCCACCCACTTCTCAGCTTAAGCTGTTTCGAAGCTTTTTCGCTCAAAATTCTCTATCCAGCCTATAGAACATCTGTTACCAAACCGCCGCAATCATATCTACGGATCTCTTCGAAATTGTGTTCCACTGGAAGAGAAATATTTGTTCTGGCGAGAAAATTTTAGAGACGTGCACAAGTTTCTGCTGGGTTTATTGATAAAATCCCAAACCTGCTGTGATAGAATCGAATGAGATGCCAGGAGAAGGAGTCAGTTTGCAAGAGTCCTTCTGAACTAGACTATTCTCTCCCACCAGAATCACCTGAAGGGCGTGGCACGGTATTTCACAGGAAGATTTGGTTGAGGTAGCATTTTTAAACAACAGAAATGAGGAATCAACTACTCAGTTCGCTTCAATATGAAGGCGTTCTGCGAAATATAGGCGTTTTTTAGAATTGCCCTTTTGTATGTTTATATATTCAGAAGGGCAAAAGGATAGACGTTGGCCAATTCAACACCGCAACAGATACATCCGCAACTGCCTTCAAGCTCACAGACGTTTGAATGTCAAAGGGGGCTCAGAATACTAAAACTCCTTTCCAGAAGAGAGAGCTATTTGAAATCAATGGTGAATGGGCAGAAAGAAACAATAAAAGGGTCGAAATAGAGCGAACGGCTTGAACTATGCCATAAGAATGGGGTCCAACCTCGTTTAATCTAAAATAAAAGTGGGTACCCGAAGGATACTTGAGTTCATTCCACCCTATGGACCAATCTATTGGTTCTTGGTTCACGATCTGTCCGGGGAAAACTTTTGGATGAATTCAAAGAAAAGGGCGGACTGAATGACTACTGGCTGTTCTTTGAAATGACTCACTGACTCACACAAAAAGTTCACTAGTGCTCGTAAGACCTGCGACGTGATTTACGTCCTAAAGGATTGCGCGAGGGCGGATGTGGTGTAGTTGCAAGTGGCGCACTATCACGCACGCATGGTTAAGGGTGCGAATCCCCGGATCGATATCCGCCTGGGCCAACCAGGCCTTCCATGCTCCCGGGTTCGATTAATTGGTACAATCTGGAAGGATAAAAGCGCTGATTAGTACATTGGCCGGCCACGGCAAGTCACTGTACAGGCCACATATCACACACTACGATACTGAATGGAATCGAATGCGGGGCGTATCCCTCAGACGGGATTGATTGACGCCCAAAAGCTCTATCCTCCATCCTTTTCGGATAAGACGAGTATACGAAAATAGATATGTACATATTTTGGGGATACTCTTCAATTCAGCCCTACATTCCTACAGTCAAGAGCCCACTAGCGGATGTCCAGCAACTGATGCCTCCAAACTTTTAGAAGACTGTGGTCTGCTACCGGTCTAAGAACAATTGCCCGGTTAGGAGCAATCCTAGAGGTTGTTCTAGGCTCCTGCTCGTGAGGCTTCTGCTTGTCTCTTGTATTTTCCTCACTAAATAGGAGATTTTTTACTGAGTTCTAGGCTCTGCCTTCTATTCCCCTTCAGTTTACCACTGCGACAAGGCTTGCCCAGTTTATTAAACGTCGAACTAAACTTTCAAAGGCAGTTTTTGAACAGTCACTCCGGGAAGCATCATTTCTTTTCGTCTTACTGTTTAAATTTATTGCATGCTAACACACATGTAATAGAGCAAGACAACAGAAAAATGAATTTCAAGGAACCAAAAGAAGAAGAACAGCCGGGAGACGGGCAGTAGGGACGGTTTTGTGTAATCGATCCGCCGCACGCGGCTGTCGCGGACCATTTGCCTCGTTATAACAGTTCCAGTGTTCTTCATATGGCTCAACCGCTATGCGATTACTACTTTTGGCATGATCCTACTGTTAGTTCTTGTTCCTGTATTTCTTACTTGCTGCTGCATCATACTGCTATATTCCTTCGCGCGCGACGTGCCTTTCGCCGCGACGCGACAATTTCTTTCATGCTGCACCACACCCAGAACAGCCAAAGGCAAGCTAAAAATGTAGCATGGATATCAACTAACAATTATAAATCAAAATATCCATCAGGACTCAACATGTGATCAGAGTGATGTTATTTTGCCGCTAGCAATTTGATACTGCGCTTACTGAACCATCATCCTTCGAGTCATACCAAGCGGTGAATCTCGATGCAACTGAGTGGGGTCGAGGGATTCCTTGCTCATACGTCTATCAGTTACCGGAGGAAACGGAATTAAGGCTAGCACGAGTCAGTTAAGAAAGGTAAGGGTCAAAACACTCTCGAGTCACGTCCTGAAATAAGGCATCAGTCGGAGGTGCGATGGCTCGTCATTTCCTTAGAACCGCAACAAGTTTCCTCTGTTTTGAATATTTCACAGATTTGCAATCCCATAGTCATTCGAGTAGTGCAGGAGGTATATTGCTATCGGTGACCAATTATACAGCTCATAGCTCATTGCCCTAAAGTAGGGTAAGTTCTAGGAGATGCTCGATGTCTCTTCCCTTGAACTTGGAGAAGTAGGGCTCTCGAGTGCGCATGTTTTTGAAGACGTCTTTCAGGAAATTGAGAGCGATGTTCCAAATGTGAAATTGCAATGTTTGTTAGAGCTCCTCTATGGGGTGCATATAGCCCTCACACTTTGGCGTATCTAACAGAAGGTCATTCCGTCGAGTGAAGTTGGGTGACTGCACAAGCTGGAGTATTCGAGAAAGGTAATTGAAGATGCCTCTTGAAAAAATCGTTGGCCTGCGACTAGTAGGTGCAGTCGCCTGTTAGAACCAGGCATTCTTGATAGCCTACTCATCCAGCTCCCCTGGAAGCGGTTCCGAAATGTGGGCGCGATATCCTCCCTACCTCCTACGGTGCCTTGAAAGAATTCTGGTAAAGCAAAAACTCACTGGTTGGGCTAACGGTACCGAAATTTTGCATGTATTCATGGACTGAGCGAAATTAGTGCGGTGAACCTCAGGCCTGGTGTGCTAGACTTGAAACCGTTTTTTCCAGTCTTCGGTCATCATGTCTACCACTTCCAATACCTTCCTTTTGGATGGGTATGTATGTAGTTAGTGTGCTCGATTGAAAGATAGACGATTTCCGTCTAGCGTCGTCTTGGGACCTGGTGAAGAGCTTCATATTACTATTTGGAGGGGCATTTCCAATCATTCTGAAGCTGCTACGAGCTCAGAATTTCCGCTGTGATGAGCTTCCCTCCACTGCAGAACATATGCTCCACAATCTTTGCTTACCTGAGCATGATTTACTATTAGGTTGAGTCATATGTCCTCGGACAAAATGATAGCGATTATTTCTAGGGATCATAACTCGGGAAAGAGGAAACGAAAATGGGCGAGCGTGGCATGGTTAGATAGAGTATGAAAAGCTCTTAGAAAATCCATATGAACGAACACACTCCTTTCCTGCAAGCATGCCCCATGATTTCAAGTCGTCGCAACTCCACCTCCGCAACACCATCCTATTTCTTTTTTTACCCGGCCAAGAACCCTCGGAGATCGATAGACGTATTAAGGACGTTTACAAGAAGGTTGTCCCTGCTGGATGCACAATTCACAAGTGGCACACGAAGTTCACGTCGGACGACCATTCCATCGAAAGTGAAGACCGTCCGGACGCTCATTGGCGTTGGATTTGAACGTGCTGCGGAGCCAGGTGGAAGCTGATCCGTACCAAACTACTCGTGAACTGGCAGTCACCCCTGGGAAGTCGATCCACAATTATCCGTGGATTGAAGTCAATCGGCAAAGTGGGAAAGTTCGGTCGATGGGTGCCTCATGCTTTGGAGCAATATGGCACTCTCCTCACCTCAAGCGCATGAGATGGTCAGGTGTACTCATTAGTATGCATTTGGAAGAGCTTTTTATATTCTATCTACGATGCATCGCGCGTTCATTTTCGTCACGCCTTTCCCGAGTTAAGTTCTCTGAAAGTCATCACTATCACATTGTCCGAGGACTTATGACTCAGCCTAATAGTTCACTATGATGTCACACAAGAATTTGGTCCGCATCTAAAACAATCAAAGCATCGTCTACATCCTTTTCGTGTCGACATATGTATTTGCCATCAATAAGAAACTTCATGTCAACTAACTGGTAGGGTCTATAACTTATGATTGGAAATTTTTGAGATGAATTTGGAACCAGAGAATGAGAAACAAAAGTGACTTATAAACATATGTCCTTCCAAACAGTAGACCTTCACAGAGGAGATCATACCTTCTTGAAGGTTATTCGTCTGTGATTCGGACAACAAGATTAGCTCTAGAAGATGGCCGAAGAATTTCACATCGGAGCTAGGGGTACGGAGCGGAATTAGATCGACGAAAGGCTGTTCGAGTTTATTATGTCGAGCCATAATATTCATGACCATCAATGTCATAGATTTCTTTTTCAACTGTGCGAGGTTTGGGAGCCACCCGGTGAGCAAAGCCCCGATGAAATGGATCATACCATCTCCGACCAAGACTTTTGCTCAAGTGGCAATGCTGTAGTTCCAAAGTTTACACGGGTTCGCATTTTCGTTTCCTCTGCACATGATAGTCTCCCACTAGGTGCTATCGATACGTGAAAGAAATCCACGAACTTGTTAAAGATATCCTCAAATCGTCATTAATTAGGATCACTTCGCTTCCCTAGCTAGTTTGTAGGAAGGATTCGTTAACGACAACTACGGTGAAGAATATAACCAGCTTGCAGAGCATATCCACCGTAGTGCTAGGAAAGCAAAAAGTTTACAGGTCATAAGGAGGCGCTTTCGATAAGGCAAAGTGAACTGGTGCGAGCTGTCAGCAGTTACCAACTATCATAAGAACTTCATAAGCCAAGCCATCAAGGGAGGCATGAAAGAGAGCAGCCGTTCTTATCGAAGGTGCCGAGAGTGGAAAGAGCATTTGCCAGCCCGTTGTCTACTACTTCCCAACAGATCCCTTCGACAGCCTCGTCTGACGATATCCATCCTGCCTACCTTCCATCTTGAGCAGAATAGATATCGCTCCATTACTTCATCAAAATTCGACAGGCCATAGCATCGGTGGAAAACTGTACTGTGCCCGGTCTCGATAGGATTAGAGCATCCAAAGAGCTTCCCACCAGTTATCACCAAGGCCCTGGCTCTACTCTGCATCAGTCAGAATGCAAAGAACTCATGTGAAGGAAATCCAGCAAGACTGTGTTGCTGTTAAGGCATACACGACGTAGGCAACTATCGCCCAATCTGCCTGCTGCCTATAATCTGCCAACTCTTAACTGTCTCATTCTTAACAGAGATGCTAGAATACCACAAGACTCGTCTAATCTATTGTGAGAGCACAGGACGCCCATGTCTATGTTTTGTTCATACGTTCACCAATTTGGAGAAGTCTTGATATCGTTGAGAGAGAAACGGTATTCGAAGCTCTAGTCAACCAAGGTCTTCCGCTACAATCAAAAAGGATGGTTCTTGAGCTCTAAGAGGAAGAGGAGAGGAGGAGAGGGGTCCGGCAGCGCGATGCCACCCCAAACTTTCAGTGCCGCTCTTGAGTAGAACTTGAAATGTTCACGTACTGGTTTCAATGAACCTCGGCATTGCACTATGTCTGGGGTAGTCTATAAGATCACTTGCCGTGGCTGTGGGGATTAGTATATTGGCGAAACGGCAAGACCACTCCATGTAAGAATCAAAGAGCACTTAGATGGCATGCATCGATCAAGAGAGTCTGTCGCCTTGGAAGCCCACCGCATTCAAAACCGTAATGGAAGCGTTTTTGAAGACACCGTGGAGGAATCGCAACTTTTGAGGCGAACCCCTCGAGGCATTTTAGATACAGATTACCAGTCTAAAAAATGAACCGGAGGNAACTCCACCTCCGCAACACCATCCTATTTCTTTTTTTACCCGGCCAAGAACCCTCGGAGATCGATAGACGTATTAAGGACGTTTACAAGAAGGTTGTCCCTGCTGGATGCACAATTCACAAGTGGCACACGAAGTTCACGTCG